AGGCTCTCGTACTGCTTTTGAATTCCCGCGTGACGCATACAAAAATAGAAATATTAGATTTCGATGGTCGAAATTCCTTCACCATACGGCAAATTTAAGCCAGAGCTCACTGAATCAGGATCTCACCTCAAACATGAAGCTCCTTCTGACGATTCTCATCAAGAGGTGGTCCTTTGATAATGCAAGCAACTGCTCCAAATGACGACGCTCACGATTTCCTTTGATAAGCTCACGTTTCTGCACTCGTTCGTCTTCATTCAGTACCACTAAATTATTCATTTTGACAGCCGGTTTTCAGAATTTTCTGTGACAGTGATCACGACGGGTGTAGGGCGGTACTGTTTTTATAGACTAGACCCCCATCCCATCACGCTAGGTGCGTGGTTCAGACAGCATCCTAGCGCCCTCTTACTGATGACGTTCAATTACGTCACCAAAACCGCACCGCCCTCCACTATCGTGATCATTGCCTTTAGGTTTAGTAGTTGAAGTAAAATCTAGCAAATGATAGACTTGTGAGTTAAAATCAAGTCTAGTCACTCACAGTCAGCGCTCATCCCAGCCGCGGTGCACTTGAGGTATCGGCAACGCTGGCAGACGTTCCGTGTTTGCTTGTTGATTTCACACTTTTCGCCGTTCTTGCAGGTGTACGTCAGACGACGCTGAAAAGTGGCGTTCATCACTGTTTGAAAACACTGTTAGTTTTTATAAGAAGGTTATAAATGGTATAGGATGCACAAAAAGCATTTGATAAGTTTGGTCAGTTATAAAACGAACTTAAAGGCAGTGATTACTACAATTTGATGGTTGTGAAATGTGAGGGCCAAATGATGCAGCGGTAAAGAAGAAACCTGACTAAGCCGTCAAGGACACCGAAACTGGCGCTCTCATTCTTAAACACACTCTCTTGACAATAATGTGGCACTAGCGCCTTACAAAGACCGCTTCGAATGCTTCCACGCTCGCCACATGCGCCCTCCCATTCGCTGTGCTCCCTCCTCTCCTCCCTGCTTTTCGCTCAGTGTCTCTTCGCGTCAGTACAGCCTGAGTTGCTGAAGAAGAGAGCCCTCTCTGGTGTTCCCGAAAAATTCGTTCCTTTTTCCTCTCTGCCGGCCCGCTTCGTACCCCTGCTTTCATTCTCGTGTGCAGAAAAAACCTAGGTTGATCTTGGATTGCCTTCAAGTTTACTATAAAGAGTAACGTTTGCATCAGTGAGTAGCAACCAAGCTCAGAAGACGAATGTTCGAGCCGTCGGGTTTCCCAGTCTCATAGCCGCTCGACCACTCGTCCATGGGTGTCTTTCCGCAACTGCGCCCCGTTGTGGAGGTTAAACCTCCACCCCACATGGTTCAAGCAATCATGAGACTTCCTTCCAAAATCTTTATAGAGAACTCATATTTATTGCCCAACGACGTCGTCTTGCTCCTGTGCCTTGGTCCTACGTGACCGAGTAATCAGGGAGTCAGTCAGCCATTCAGCTTACCCGGCACAACTAATAAAATATTGGTGATGGTCAACCAACCCTACCAGGATGAAGCTCCTTCGGCTTTTTTTACTTTGAAAAAATGCCAGAAATAGGAAAGAAACACTAACCTGTGAAGTTCTGCGGAAGAAACCTTTGCATCCTTCACAAGTGATCGCCCTGGAACAATAACAATAAACCATATGTTACAAGTTAGTATGAGAAGCTCAACCATATCCTGTTTAGATGTGACAAATATTCAAAAATAATCAAAATACTATGAAGTAAAGGGAAGATCATACCTGTAGTGTAAACCAGTAGCGACATCGCCACATACGACACATGATTGACCGTCTTCCATGTATGATGGCATATACGGAGTAGCTGTAAATATAAGGTTGATTTTCACGTGTAATTTTTTGTATAGATCTTAAATTCATTGGGCCACAAAACAGGCAGGATATGGCATACTACAGAAATATGCAAAAGGGTGAAGCTCTGCTCCGATAAATAATTTTTGGGTTACGCCATGCATTTGACTCTCCTTCAAAATTATTTTGATTTCTTGATTAGGCGTTGATCTTGAGCAATCCATCAGTTGAACCGATGCCGTTTTTGAATTCATTTTTCTGTACTCTTTTTTATTATTATTTTATTGTTATTTATTTTTTTATATTTATGTACCAGGTGGATCCTCAGGAGCTAGGGAATTTCGTGACAGACATACAGAACGACAGACGACAGACGACAGACGAAGCGCTTTATAGTAAGTAGGATATCTTTATAGTAATTTCCTCTCAACCTACTCTATCAGGCTTTTGTGATATCTCAATGATTGAGCGATTGCATTGGGGAAGAAGGGCATAGGCTATGGGACCGATCCACGCGCCATGGGTGCAGAACGATGTTCTACTGCCACTACACCAACTCCCAACTGATTTGATTATTTGGAATTTTCAAGAAGAATTCGTAGCATTTTAAGTTTTTTATTTTGTTGAATTTTATGACCAAGAAAAACAGTAGCTAATAAATACGTAAACATATCAGAAAAGACTTGACCCCCAAGAAGTCTCGATTCCCATCATAGTTTCCCTTTATGAGTTCCAGTTATCTTGTTCCGAACACTGACCGCCTTATGGGCTTTACAGCCACAGATGATTATCTCTAAGCAGCAGACGTTCGTTGAATGCAGATTTACAACCACCGGTCTGGGTACGTAAAGCACCGGACACCGTAACACCCGCCACTTATATTGCCATTCGCTGGCTAGGCGTGTAGGTACAGTACTTGGGTTACGTAATAACTTCGTATCCCCGCTTTGGGCTGTGGAGAATAAGCAGAAGGGAATCAAAATCTGTGAAACGAGAATCCATGACGTGTGGATTATTGCCTGTAAAGTCGAACTTCAGAGCACAGGATGAAGAAGGAAAGCAATGATCACACTGGGCTCTTGCAATTCAAATGTTTCTGCCGAGTCGCCTTTCAAATGCTGACGTTGTCCCTCTGATTGGGAGTAATAACGCATGCGCGTCTCACGAAAGGCAAATTGCGCCAAACATTCTCACAGGCCTTCATGAATTCAATTGGGTTTAGGATGAACTCAAGGGTCTCCTTAGTGTCGAGCCCCTCAGAAAATCAAAGTTTATGGTTGAGTTAGGCTGTCGACGATCATTTCCCATTTAGGTGCCTCATGAAGGTCTTATCTATTAGTTAGCCATTTTAATTAGGCCTTCATTATATTCATTTTCGTGGTTTAGCTATTTACTATAGGTTGAGTTAAATGTTAATGGCTCCAAAGCTGTGTGTTTATTTCAACCGGATGTCTAAGAGATCTACAAATATTCGAGTAATTGGAGAATGTTTGTCGGTGGGCTAGGCTCGACCTGTTTTTCTACAGTGCCACCTGTTGCGTAATAGGCAGACGCGACCGTGGACCGTCCAACGGGTGAGGTCACCGAGACAGTTGGGCAGAGCAGAGAGCTACAGAAATCATCAAACAAGCATTAATAGTTTAGAGTGTGGAACCCGTGGTAGACTCAAAATAAAAAGACATTCGAAGGTTTTTTCCCTAGCTAACGCAAGAGCGAATTAGGGTAACAAAACCGCTACAGTAGTCGGTCAATTTTGGCAGGTCACCATTCAGGCTTACTATTTTCTTATTCTGATCCAATCAATCAATCAAAATTGAAGGCCATATTGCCACAACTTTTCCTCTATAGACCCTATGTGGCGCCTTAATGGCGTTTGTTTCGAGCTGTTTCTGCTTTTTGTTCGGCGCTTTCTTCTACTGTAATTACAGATATCCGTCCGCCTCTCTACAGCCAGTCTCACTTCGGATTACCGTAGCTGCCAAATACGGTATACAAAAGAAGAAGAATCATTTGAAGCATAAAAATCGTAGACTTAGCAAGATAAACACCCACAGTGGACTGATTATCACTCTATACCCTGTCCAAAAAATGGTGACTCAAAACACAGTAGCAAAGCTCAGCCGCTACTAATGTTTCAGTAAAGGCTCATGGTTCTCTTCTTTCTGGCCCCACGGGAATATTTCATTGGCATGTTTAAGTTTGAAATCAAAATTCGAAGGTCTGTAAGTGAGAAAGCGCTCATCCATGCAGACCTTACGTAGTTTAGAGCGCTTTGGTATCCACACACAGAACCTATACGAAATAATCGAACGCACTAGGATCAACTGCTGTTTAGAAGTTTGTGTTCACCGGAATCACACAGTTATTTACCGTTCTGAAATGGCCCCAGATTTCAAAACTGAACTCAGAAATTTACACGAAATCATTGCCGAAATAGGGCAAGGGCATGGATTAATGGAGCAGTGGCTTGCACATCTGCACGAAATGCACGAGATCTAGGTTTCAATCTCAACGGAGGCAAATGTTTTGGTTCATAGGTAACAAACTTTGAAACTTCG